CCCTTCAGGAACTCTTCCCCCAGCCAGGGTCAGCCCCTTCAGGAACTGTATCCTGGTGAAATTCTGATTTGATATTAAGATTGTGAATCTGTGTGTGGCAATGTGTTGGGACTCAGCCAGTGTGATTCGACAATAAAGGCCTTAAATTGGTACTGATGATGACTGAAAGGAGACTTAATCTTTTTCTCTTTTGATTCCTTTTATATAGGACACAAGCCGGCGATATGAGAACAAGGCTGGCACATTCATTACAGGCATTGATGTTACCTCAAAGGTATAAACCATTTGCTTCTCTGCCCCAGGTTTGGGATGTGGGTTAGTAATCACCAGGAGGGTTGGGGGAGTTCATTATCATGAGCGAAAGAAGGGTTGGGTTTCAGGGAAATGGTGAGTTTGTAAAGTACTGGTTCAGTCCATGGGATCCTATCAGTCATAGGAGATGTTTCTAGAGGAGGGGGAACCATACATTTTATCTCCATGTTATGTGGTGGAGGGACATCCCATTGCTGTGGCTAGCACTGATCTAACAGCTACAGCAGGCAACCAGACCCATTTGCTCTGTCCACTGAATGCAGCTGAACCTCCATCCTGCTGCTTTCAAAGCAAAAACAGAAATGCTTCAATTGATTTGGGGGATCAGTGTGTTGACAAATAAACTTGATCATTGAAAAGTCTGAGGTGGTGCGATTTGGTGGGAAGAATCCGAGGAGAAAGTTAATCTTTTATAGGATACCACAGTTAATTGTGTAGACGTCTTCCAAGGACATTCTGATCTGACAGAGTTCACTGTCCAAATTTAGGTACTAGGATCTCCAGGAGTTTTCCGCACTTTCTGCATTAGATCACAATATAAATTGTTCACTGAGCTATCACTAAACTTCAGGAAAAAAAAGTTTAAATTTTCATTGAAATGACAGCATAAGATTGGAACAAACTGCACAGTGTGCAGCAGCCCAATAGCTTATCTCTGTGGAATGATTAGCTGGACATGCAATCCAGTAATTTCGGTTGCTCTCCAAGACATTACCCATGTAAAAGTTACCAATTTTTGTCTAAAAATATATTTGTCTTTTACACAAGTATATTTGGTAGGAGTCCAACAGGGCAGAGAAACTATAGGATCTGAGTTACAGATTCACAATGATTAAAGGAACAATTCAGTTTGTTCGAATATCTGGAAAATGCAAACAAACCCTGATGTTAATTTCTAGAACAATAGAATTGGAAAGGAGAGACATTTGTTAGACCATATGTGGAGTACTGTGAACAGTTTCTGGCCTCATTATTAAAAGGATATCAAGGAACTGGAAGGTTTCAGGATGATGATGCCAGGTCTGGTAAGTTATAACTATCAGGAAAGACTGAACAGGCTGGGGCTCCTTTCTTTAGAAGAGAGAAGGCTGAGGGATCACTTGACCTGCTTAGTTGCAGTGCAAAAGGGTTTGAGAGGGTCAGTATAAAGATGTTTCAGGTTATGCCCCAATTGGATTTCGGAGAAACGTCTTTATCCAAACAGAGACTGAGGCGAATGTGAATCATGCTCCTTCAGGGAATATTTACCCCAAATGGTGTTAACTTTTAAGCGAAAGTTGGATAAGGACCTAAGGGAGAAAGGAGTAGAGATGCTGATGGGATGAGACGGGAGAAGGCTCATAAGGAGAAACACAAGGTGAAAGTCTTGTTTCTGTGAAAAACAAGCATTCAAATCAAATGCTGAATGAAATACTTTACTGTGGAAAAATATAGCAAGCTACTACATTGATCACACTGACCTGAATGGGCTGGTTCTGATTCTCTGAGGTCTTTGCAGAGTAGGGCAGGCAGGTAGGCAGATATTACAATCATGGCCTGCTCTCTCCTGCCCACACTTATTGTTTCACCCTGTGCCCTCCATGCCCCAACTTTATCTGTTCATTTAATTCCACAGGAAGCAGTGGAGAGGAAGGAACAGCGAGCAAGGAGATTCCATTTCCGGGCTGAGGTGAACCTCACTCAGCGCAAGGTGGTGTTGGACAAGGAAATCTTGAAGGAAGGTGACAATTTAATTTTCTAATTTGGAAAGTTTTTGTAGACTGAACGAGAAAACAATAACTTTGAAGGCTTTATGATATCAGTTTCCTGATCACTGGCTGGACTCTGGGAAAGGTGAAGAGTGTCCTACTTCATCCAACATCTAACTAGCCACTCAATCTAATTAACTTTTACTAGTCAATGAGTTACCAAGGGGATAGAGGTAGCAATGCCAACAATACTTCATCTATAACACTACTGATTTGTTATTTATTAAAGATTTGTGTTGCACTGAAAACATTTAGCTTTTTGTCAATTTTGTACTGTGAGCTATCATCAACACGCTTTGATCTGACGCAAGTAAACTTCAGCAAATTACAGCTGGAGATCGGAAATGTATAAGTAAAAAGCTTAGAGAAGGCCCAGAGAGAATCTATGAAGGACTTACAGCAACAACAGGCTTAAATTGATGAGGAAGCAAAGATAGCCAAAGGACAAGACAACAAAATCTAAATTTTTTAATTCATTCATGGAATGCGGGTGTCATTGATTAGGCAGTATTTATCGCACACTCTGCTTGAGAAGGTGGGGGTGAGCTGCCTTCTTGAACCGCTGCAGTCCCATGTGCTGTGGGTTGACCCACAATGTCCTTAGGGAGGGAATTTCAGAATTTTGACCCAGCGACAGTGAAGGAACAGCAATATATTTCCAAATCAGGATGGTGAGTGGCTTGGAGGGGAACTTGCAGGGGGTGGTGTTCCCATGTATCTGCTGCCCTTGTCCTTCGAGGTGGTCGCAGGTTTTGTAGTTTCCATTGGAGGAGATTTGGTGAATTACCGCAATGATAAACCCCAGGATGTTCTCAGTCAGGGATTCAGTGCCATTAAGCATCGAGGGGAAATGGTTAGATTCTCTCTTATAGGCGGTGGTCATTGCCTGGCACTTGTGTGGTATCAATATTATTTGCCATTTATCAGCCCAAGCCTGAGGCTTTCTACATGTGGACAGAGACCCCTTCAGTATCTGAGATGTCATGAATGGAGCTTTAGCCTTATCTTTTGCAATGATGTTCTGGACTGTTCTGCCCTTGTGGATGAGGATATTTGTGGACACTCTGCCTCCTGTTAGTTTAATTGTCCATTACCATTCACAGCTGACTATGGCAAGACTATAGAGCTCAAATCAGATCTGTTGGATATGAGATCACTTAGCCCTGTTAGGAGTTAGCAGGCAAGATTTCACTCCAGAATCTGACTTGTCCAGTATTAATGCCAGTTGACATCATGATGTCATGCTCTGGCTAGTTTATCAGACAGCTCTCCCAATTTTGACATAAACCTCAAATGTTTAAAGGAGGACTTTGCAGGGTTGACAGGACTAATTTGCCACTGTTTCCAGCGCCAGGATTTCCTTCCAGTTGCATTCCTTCCTTTTGACTACATAGCAGTTTGATACAACTGAGCGGCTTCCTGGGCCATTTCAGAGGGCACTGCAGACCCACAGCAATGTAATTGACTCTTGACTCATGTATGCCAGACCAAGGGAGGATGGCAGATTTCCTTCTGTAAAGGACATTGGTAAACTAGATGAATGTTTATAACAGTTGACCAGTACTTTCAAATTTGACTAGCTTTTAATTCCAGATTTATTAATGAATTCATATTTTGCAATCTGAGCCTGTCTTTGGATTGCTAGTCTAGTGACATTACCACCAACCTATTTTGTCCACTTAGAATCTTTGTGAATTCAGAAAAACATTGGATGCATTTCTATTTCACAGTAATGGTCATTTCTAATGTTTAAAATGGAATTTTAAAGGATATAAATTATGAGTGTATATTTTACAATAACATGACTCTATGTTAAATTCACCCTACACACTGTCTTTCAGAAATCTAATTTAGGTTTTGCTGAAGAAACATGAGCTTCAATGTAATGTTTTTGTCTGTACCTGTGACAGCTGGTCCCAGCATGGCAATGAACTCTGTCTCCTAGTATGAATCATAATGTGCAGTCAAATGTACTGTTATATATTCTGTTCTGATTCTAGTGAAATGTGCTTAAATTGTTTTCAAAACCGTTTGAAGAAAAGTCCAATTTTAACATAACTTTCTATTAAGTTTTTATTTTATGTGTGAAGAGATGCTTACTGTGTGGGAGATACTGATCCACTTCAGACATCCCTATTATATATTTGTACATTTTGTTCATGTTTCAGTTAAAAAGATTCAAATTTATTTCTGCCTTCAAAAGTCAAGTTGTACCTCCTAATAAAATTCCAATGTGCTCATATTTAAAAATAATTTGAATGCAAACCTGATGTTAAATAGAGTTAAATTTTCAAGTAGACTTTGAAATGAAAGCTCTTCGTTTTATTACATCAGAAATAATTTGTCACGGTGTAATTTTAAATTGAAAGGCAGGAGGTTTAGACAGGACTTGAAGGAAAACTTGTTTCCCAAAAGGTGCTGGGAATCTGGAATGCTTTGCCTGGGAGGGTAGTTGAGGTAGGAGAGCTCACAATCTTTAAACAGTATTTGGATGAGCACTTGAAGTGTCATTAACATCCAAGGGTAGTGCAGCAATATGAGACGAGTGGTAGGTAGTAGTGTATTTCTGTTAGAACAGATAGACAAAGAGCCTCTTCTATACTGTATGATTCTATGATCATGTAAAGGGAAGAAAAACAATGGGAAAGTAAAATCATCTTCCTTCCACCTAATTTGACTTATTTTCTCTTCCCAACATTAAGATCAAATTATTTACATTTTAAAATCTCAGACTAGCTGTTCTAATTACGATAACCACGTTTTGGGAGTTAGAAAATGTGCACATGGAAATTGATATCTGAGAGATTAAGGTTGAGAGGGAAATGAACATCAAGTATGATGTAACAAGGTGCAGAACTGGATGAACACAGCAGGCCGAGCAGGAAAGCTGACTTTTCGGGCCTAGACCCTTCCTGAAACATCAGCTTTCCTGCTCCTCTGATGCTGCTTGGCCTGCTGTGTTCATCCAGCTCTACACCTTGTTATCTCAGATTCTCCAGCATCGGCAGTTCCTACTATCAAGTATGATGTGTCCGGGAATCTCTTAGAAATTTGTAAACCCTGTTGCAGGCACTCCACCCCAGTTTGAGAGTTGCTGAACCAGAAACAGCCATCACAGCCTCTCGGGTTCTGCCATAGCCCAGGTTTCCCTCCCAGCTCTCACTTCCATTTTGTTAACTTTTACAGTGGTTCACCCTTGCCACTACAGCTCAGGACCACATCCATTGCAGCAATAGGTGTTTCTTTTCAAGGCAATAATTACTGTTAGCCCAAGTACTTCCAGTTTTGTTTCCCTAAGATTTGAAAATGAGGTAGAATAAGAATTATACGGAAGTAAAGGATATTTATATATAACATAAATGTTTAACTGAATTGTGCATATAAATCAGAAGAATAAAAATTCACATTCATGTGTACTTTTTGTATGACTCCTTTAGATCTGTCACATTTCAGATGTCTCACATTATCTAATTCTTTCTTTAAACTGTGGCTGAGGTCATTCAGAGATCAATTGCTCTATCATTTACAGGAGGTCCTCTGGCTATTTGTTTGCAGTGCTTATGTTTTCCCATCACTTCCACTATGCTGAGCTTGGTCTTTGTGAAATTCATTTTGTCCCAAGTATGCCATTTGTATCTGTCCATGGCCTTGTCCCTTTCTATCGCTGTGATTCTTAGCAGCTCTTGGAACCCTCTGAGCTCTCCACGTTCTTCCAAATTTCAGATTTCCAAGTCCCATTGTTGGATGGTATTGACAAGATAGATATGAGAATCTTTACTCCTGTGGGTCAATCCAGATCTAAGGAACACTTAGAATTAGTGGTCACCTTTTTAGGATGGAGAAGGGGTTTTTTTTTCCTTCCCTGAGGGTTTTATGACTTTAGAACTCTGCCTCAGAAGAGACAGGTGGTTGAATATTTTCATGATGGAGACAGACTCTTGTTAGATGTGAGTCACAGGTTATTGAGAATCAATGGCAATGTGGAATACAGAAAGTGTACACAGCTGAGATTTTATGGCAGAGCAGCTGAATGGTCAGCTTCTGTTCCTTATTCATACAGCCCCGCTGATGTCAAACCTCAGTGTGGCTATGCTGCACTTTGGGATGTTCTGTGAAATTAAAGGAATGATATTAAAAGAATTATATAAAAGCAAGTCAGTTGTTGAAAATTGTCTTGTCTTTTGCTGCATTGTGTTTTGTAGCCATTCCCAAGGTTCGCCTGGAGGCCCTTCATGTGACTGGGGTTGATGAGATGAGCACTGAAGAGATCTTTGCCTATTTTAAGGAATATCCTCCATCCAGCATTGAATGGATTGATGATTCCTCCTGTAAGTGAACTGTGGCAGCTTTTAGTTTGTCTTTGGAAACTCGGGTGTGATATGCACATATACTGTGTAACATCTCCCTGGATGTAATTTTATTTTTGTTTTCCACTTCTTATCTTCTGGGTCAGTTTTCCATTCCCATGTCACCACTTTTCCACAAAACACAAGGTTTCTGCCTCGGGTGCCTGTAACTGTATGAGGCTGCGTCTGTGCTTCACTGACAGAATGCACCAGGTTCAAAACAGAGCCACTAAACTGCAGAGCCCCAAGCACTGCCCCACTGCATGCACTGTGTTTCTGAAGCTTTCACATTTTCACATCCCTTTCTGCCCTGTAATGCAGATTGACATTACCACTGCAATTCTGAGGGAGCGCCGCGCTGTCGGAGGGTCAGCGCTGAGGGAGCGCCGCGCTGTCGGAGGGTCAGCGCTGAGGGAGCGCCGCGCTGTCGGAGGGTCAGCGCTGAGGGAGCGC